CTTCCTTCATGTCCATGATGAGAAAATCTGCAGGATATATAAATTTCTTCACTTTGATTAGCACTTCTTCTATTATCCCTCTTGGATGTGTTAAGGATATGTCAACTAATTGCAATGCCACAGTGGTAGGCTTGGCTTCTCTTAATCCAAGTTTCCTGAAAACAGACAGAGGCATTAAATTAATACTTACACCAAGGTCACATAAAGCTCTATAAAGTTATATCAATAGTGCAAAGGACAATGAAACTCTCTAGATCTTTAAATTTCGGTGGGAGCTTCTTCTGAATTTTCGCGCTGCATTCTTCAGTTAGCATCACTATCTCATGTTTTCCTAACTTACATTTATTTGATAAGATGTTCTTTAGGAACTTGGCGTAGCTAGGCATTTGGACTAGTGCATTGGTGAATGGAGATATTTATATGGAGCTTCTTGAAAACTTCGAGAAACTTTTTATATTGTTGCTCTAACTTCTGCTTCTTTAATCTTTAGAAGAACGGAATGGCGGCTTATAAAGGTTGACTTGCACTGTTGCCTCATCTAGTGATGTCCCTGATCCTTCATCTGGGGTAGACTCATTTATTTACTCATCCAGTTCCATAGTCTCTTCTTTTGCAGGCGGTATTGTTTCTTTATTTACACCTGGCCTCTTGACGTGTATTTTAGGTAGTTGTGCCCCACTTCGAGTTGTAATTACCTTATCATCTCCTTTGGGTTGATTTTCATGTTGCTTAGCAAACTACTAGGTGCTCTGCCAGTCAAAACAACTACCATCTATCCCATTTAGGTCTCCAGATATTTGATGGCTGCATTTTGATCTTGAAGAGTGGCTTCGGTTTCCTCATGAGCTGATTGTTGGCTTCTATATGCTAATTGGTCGTTTCCATGAATTTTTCGAACATCTTTTCCAGTTGAGTCTTTTTCTCTTGCTGTTGAAACTCACCGTGTGGCCTATTTTGATTTTGGTTACTCCAAGAGAATTTAGGGTACTTTTTCTAGCTCGGATTGTATGTTTCCCAAATGATTGTTCTGCTGGCGTTGTCCCCATTGAGTAATATCTACCTGCTCCATTCCTTGTGCTAAGATTAGGCATTCTATTGTTATATGTTCAACTCCACATTCCTCACAACTAACCTTCTTCCCTGTGCTACTTGTCCTGATTGTGACATGCTCTCCACCATGTGATATAGTGAGTCAATCATTATAGATAGAGCAGAATATGCATCCACTTTGTAGACTCTCGATGTCCACTTTTGAACAGCTCTCTCTGATGTCTACATAGCTGATGTAGTGGTCATTGTCTCAAATAGTTTCAATGCTTCATCAATTTTTTTGTGGACAGTAACTCGTTAGATGAGGAGTCAACCGTGCTTTTGAAGGCTAAAATTAGTCCCGAGTTGAAATACTGGACTTGGAGTCCCTTGCAAATCCCGTGATTTGGACACTTCTTCAACATGTTTTTAAACCTATTCCAAGCTTCATCAAAGTTCTCTAAATTGTCTTGATAGAAAACATATGTCATGCTTTAGCTTTGCAATCTTGGCGAGTGGGAAGAACTTGGTGCAGAACTTTTGTGCTAGATCGTTCCATGTAGTGATGCTGACTATTAGTTGAGAATCCTGCCATTCAGTGTGTGGGAACAGCCTCAATCTAATAGCATCGTCTGAGAACACCTAATATCTGATGTGTTGGCCCATCTCAATGAATCGAGAGACGTATGTGTGTGGGTTTTCTTTAGCTCTGTTGCATGACTGATGTCCATTTTGAAACAGTTGTATCACACTGGTTTTCAATTGGAACTTAGGTTGCCCAAACAGTATATACACGATACTGGACTAGCTTTGAATTATTTGAAGAGTCATGAAGTCTACTACAAGCATGTTGTCTTCGTCCATAGCCCCTTCTTCATTGGCTTGAAAGATGGGATTATTTTGTACGTTAGCCATTTGTTAGTGTTTTTGTGATTCTCTAGTTTTCCTTTGCATCCGATGAAAAGTTCGCTTGATTTCTGGATGAGTTGAAATTAATTTTCCTCCAGTCATATAATAACCTAAAATTATCTACATGCCATTAACCTAAGTATAGGGACCAAATTGCTCAATAACCATAGTTTAAGGACCAATTTATATAGAGACTAATGTTCAGGGACAAATTACACATCAACTAGAATTTAGGGATCATATCACTTATCAGTGAACATTTAGGGCCCAAGTTTTATACCCATCCATAGTTAAGGGACTATAGCATATATATTAGCATCTACATACATGGTAAGAAATAATTATTTCATATTTTTATTATGGTAAGGAATAATTAAATGCAAATTTAGGTAATTACAATATATAATATGTACGTATATGTTAACTGCCATAATTAAAAGAAATAATTAAGGAAACTTTCCTTTTTACTTAATTATACCAAAAATCGAAAAGGAAATCACCATATACATTATGGAGACTTTCCTTTTCTTATTCAATCTTACTAAAAGCCAAAAAGGTGATTAACATATATAATATGAATATATATGTTAATTACCATAATTAAAATGATTAATTAAGGAGATATTCTATATATATATATATATAAAGTAAGAAAAAAAGAAAAAGAAAAAGAAACACACACACACATGCACACATGAATATTTTTCAATAATTCTCCCACGTGCTAATAGGATCATCAGATTCGAGGTAAGTGAAATGCATGTATTTCATCGTTTAAGATTACAGAAGTTGATATTATGATTATGTTATGAAATCATGGACTTTAGTAGTGCTACGCACGAAATTAGAACCAAAAAGTTCGATTTTTTTTATAATTTCGTGTCTTATCAAATATGTTCACAAATCTCATGGACTTTTATTATTCAAGTCATGTTATTTCACATATTGAGATTATCATCTGATATAAATCATGAATTTTTTTATAGGTAATAATTAATCCGTGTTTTGAGATGAATGAAGATTGGGCGAGCACGCAATGGTTGATAATAAAACATTTAATAAATTTATTTTAAAATTTATTTATATTTTGATGATTAAATTAATTTGGTTGTAAAGAATTTAAGATTGAATATGTTGTTTCGAAATTTTCTTTTCCTTTTGAAAACTTTTATATATTAATAAAGTAATTGTTTAAGGATTTTATTCTTATGTTCAAGATTTTTTTTTTATTCTTTAGAAAATGGTATCAAAGCGAGTTTACGATTCTGTAGACCCACAAAAAAAAGTTTTTCTGCTAAACAGTGAACAGTGACGTAGGAATTTTTTTTAAAATGTAGTAGTAGTAGTAGTAGTAGTAGTAGTAGTAGTAATAATAATAATTTGAGAAATGTTAAGGCCACCATCATACGATGCTATGTTCTAATCTTCGGTGTCTCAAATTAGGTAGGACTTATAGGTGATGTTTTTTGAATTATATTATGTTATTTATGAAATCATGATTACCTAAAATGCAAATTTATGAAATTTATATGTAAATACATGATTATGTGCACATAAATGAATGTGCATGAAATTATGTATAAATTAATTGGGAATGGTTATTTTAATAAATTGTGCATAGTTATGAATTGGTATTTAATTATAGAAAATTTCATCCCATACTTGGAAAGTGTAGGTTTGTGAATACTGAAGAAATTTCTAGCCTTAGAAATAGAAGAGTGCCCAATCAAGAAAATTTCTAAATTTGGAAATTCCTATTTTAGAGAGACTATTAACAAACTTCTATTTTTTTGGACGCCTCAACACGAACATTACTAAGTTGGAAACATGTATTTTGAGGATCCATATTTAAGAAAGATCATAGTTCAGGAACCACATTTAGATACTATAAAGATATCTAGCTTAGAATACATTGATTTACGTAAGAAAGTTAATTAATATAAAGTTTACTTTCTTAGATGTTTAATGGACGGTCATGATTGGCTAGGGACCAGGCTCAAAGACATGAGATGTTTCTTAGATTGCATAGGAATTACGTGAGAAACCTCAACCACAATCTGTTGGAACATTTAGATATCATAGAAAGGATCATCACAGGAGTCGGAAATAACGGACTCGAGTTTCATAGGGATGAAATTGTTTATCATCTCTATAGAACACTTAGCCCCTACTGGAGATGGTTTATTGAGAGGCTTGAGTAAATGTTCGAATACTAAAGTGCCCTTGTCGTATTGATTTCGTATTGAGGGATAGATGGATTATTAACACTTAAGACATTAGGAACATTGAAAGACTGTTAGGACATGAACCTGATCTCCGCCGTCCACGTAGCCCACCTAGTGTTGGCAATTTTCCTAGTGTACCAACAATTGACAGAAGGGTAATATTATTGGAGAAGTGTAGAGGAAGAGGAAGACCCTGAAGGAGACCTTGAGAAGAACCCTGGACACAACCTTGGGGAGGTAGGCCAAGATGAGGGAGTTGGGAGAAATTTTTAGATGATAGGAAATTATTGTCATGTTTGGACTAAATTTTTATTTAATAAGTGGATGTATGGGATACCATGAAGTCAATTTGGTTCATGGAAATTATTGAGATTGACAAAATATAAATAAATAAATAAATTTGCTTTCTTTTTCTCTTATTGTTAATCGAGTAATTAAATGATTTTACATTTGAATTTTATCAATGTTATGGCAACTCACTCTAGAAACACGAACAATAGGGACGGTCAACCCCAGACTGGTGCAACTGAAACAAGAAATAGAAACAATTACAACTAGAATGACCAATTCATGCAGTTTCTTGAAGCGATACGCAACATGGCGACAATCGCCGCACTGTCTGTTGCACCACCACCAGCAGAGAAGAGTGTGGCTACGATTGTGGAATAATATTGTAAGCTACAAACCCCTAGCTTTGAAGGAGACACCGATCCACTAGCGGCAGAAGAGTAGATAAGCAAGCAAGAACGGATCTTTGAACCTGTTGAGTGCCCTGAAACTCAAAGAATAATACGTGCAACCTTTATGCTGGATAAAAGAGCACGACACTGGTGAGAAATGACCAACAGGTCCAGAGCAGCTGGACAAGGCTGGATATGGAATGAATTTAAAGAGTTATTCCTACAAAAATACTTCCCCACCAACATCCCACACCAGAAGGAAGTGAAATTCCTGGTCTTTAGACAGGGAAACTTGATACTGGCTAATTATGAAAGGAAGTTTGAAGAACTACATCGCTACGCCCCACAATTGGTTAATATGGAGGAAATGAAAGCGACACAATTTGAACAAGGTCTACGTGATGATCTCCAACAATCGGTGGTCACCTTTGAATTGGGTACATACCACGAAGTACTGGCGAAGGTACAGTTGGCCAACTTCAAGGAAAATACCAACAATACCAGTAAACTTCGGCAACCTGTGCTACCAAAGAAGCGTAAATGGCAGAATCGGAAAGATATAATTAAGCAAAATTTTGCAAAGAAAGGGAAATGAGTGTTACCTTCAAGCAAATATTTGGAGAATCCAATATGTGACAAATGTTAGAAGTGTCACACTAGGAAATGCCTCGTGGGAACCAGTGTATGCTTCTATTATGGAAAGATAGGTCACATAGCAAAATTTTGCCCTAAGAATTAGAAGTCGAGGCAACCATCCCAACAATAGAAACCTGGGAATCCACCTAAAGGGCAAGCCAAGGTCTATGCCCTTACTGAATGTGAGGAGAATGCCAGCTGAAATGTTTTGGCAGGTAACATTCTCATATCTGGTATTCCTGCATATGTTTTGATAGATCTGGTCCTACTCACTCTTTTATATCGCCAAAATTTATGAGAACAATAGATGTAAGTAGTGAAGTTGCCATGCACCATTAGAGGTTGTCAAACCTTCAGGAGATGTACTTAACACAAGTCAGATAGTAAAGATGGAAGAGGTAGAAATCGATGGTAAATTCTTGGACATGAACTTATACATCTTGGACATGCGTGAGTGTGACATAATCTTGGGAATGGACTCGATTTCAAAGAGCCACGCAATGATTCTATGCTTTGAGAGGAAAGTAAATTTTCAGTGCACAAAACAAAGTCCCTACCCAAAGTTAATTCTGCCATAAAGGCCCAAAAACTTTTAAAGTCAGAAGGATGCATAGAGTTCTTGATGTTAGTGCTAGCCAAAGAAGTTAAAGCATAGAGAGTCGAAGATGTCAAATTAGTAGGGAATTTTCGGAAGTCTTTCACGAAGACTTACCTGGAATGCCTCCAGAACGGGTAGTAGAGTTCACAATTGATTTGACTCCCAATTCTGCTCCTATTTCTAAAGCTCCCTACAGAATGGCACCAAAGGAACTGCAAGAATTGAAAAAACAAATCGAGGAATTATTAGAAAAGGGATTTATAAGACCCAGGTGTCGCCTTGTGGGCGCCAATGTTATTCGTTAAGAAGAAAGATGGATCTATGAGGATATTAAATATCCAATTTCTAGAATTGAAGATCTATTTGATCAATTGCGAGGTACGATGGTATTCTCAAAGATCGATCTGAGATCAGGATATCATCAGTTGAGGATAAAAGCTAGTGATATCTCGAAGACTGCCTTTAGAACTTGGTATGGCCATTACGAGTTCTTAGTCATGCCTTTTGGCCTGACTAATGCTCCAGTAGTATTCATGGACTTGATGAATCATATGTTTCACGAATACCTAGATCAGTTTGTCATCGTGTCCATCGATGATATACTAATCTACACGAAGACTAAAAGAGAGCATGAAGAACATTTGAAAATTATGTTACAAATTTTGAAGAACGAGAAGCTTTACGCCAAATTCAAAAGTACGAATTTTGGTTAGAACGAGTTGTGTTCCTTGGACACGTGGTCACAGCCCATGGAATTGAAGTGGACCCAAGTAATGTAGAAGCGGTGTTAAGCTGGTCGAGACCAACCAATGTGGGAGAAGTTCGTAGCTTTCTAGGTTTAGCAAGATACTACTGAAGATTTATAGAAGAATTTTCTAAAATATCAGAACCCTTGACTCAGTTGACGCGTAAGGGTGCAAAATTTGACTGGACCAAGAAATGTGAGCGCAATTTCGAAGAATTGAAGAAAAGGCTAGTTAAAGCACTGGTGTTGACTATACCTGGTGGATCAGAAGGCTTAGTAATGTACAGTTATGCATCCAATTAAGACTTAGGTTGTGTTTTAATACAACAAGGTAAGGTATTCACCTATGCATCCAAACAATTAAAACCTTATGAACAGAACTACCCCATGCATGACCTAGAACTCACAGTAGCTTTACATGCTTTGAAAATTTGGAGACACTACCTAAATGGGGGTAAATGTGACATTTATATAGATCATAAAAGCCTCAAATACATTTTCACTTAAAATGAGTTGAACATGAGGCAGAGAAGATGGGTTGAATTAGTAAATGATTATGATTGTGAAATCCATTACCATCCAGGTAAGACAAACGTAATGGCAGATGCTTTGAGCAGGAAAACCACAGGCAATTTGGCAATGTTAACAGTGCAGGAACCAGTATATAAGGAATTTGAGAAACTGAGAGATGGCTTGAATAAGTAAATGATTATGATTGTGAAATCCATTACCATCCAGGCAAGGCAAACGTAGTGGCAGACGCTTTGAGCAGGAAAAGTACAGATAATTTGGCAATGTTAACAGCATTGAACTAGTATATAAGGAATTTGAGAAATTGAGCCTCAAAGTAGTCACAATCCCATCAGAGACTGTAGCTCAAATGACATCAATCTCGATTCGATCGACACTCCGTGATGGAATCAAGGACCACTAGAAGAGCGATCAGTCTTCGAATTTATTAAAGCCAAGATTGATATAGAAAAACAGAAAGGATTTACCATAATTGAGGACAAAACATTGTATTATCAAGGACGTTTATGTGTACCAGAATTCGAGGAATTGAAAAAGGAGATTCTAAAAGAAGCTCACACCACACCTTATTCAGTACACCCAGGAAGTACAAAGATGTATTGTGACTTAAAAGCCGTATTTTGGTGGAAGAATATGAAGAAAGACATATCTGAGTTTGTTGAGAGATGCCTTGTATGTCAACAAGTGAAAGCCGAACATCAACGACCGTCAAGGTTACTACAACCATTGAAAGTTCCGGAGTGAAAATGGGAGCATGTAGTAATGGATTTTGTTTTTGGTTTTCCAAAGTCAGTGAAAGGTCATGAAGCCATTTGGATAATGGTTGATAGACTGACCAAAACAACTCACTTCTTGCCTATTTGGATGACTTTTTACTTGGACCAATTAGTACAGTTATTTGTTAACGAAGTGGTGAGACAGCATGATGTTCCAGTCTCGATTGTATTAGGCAGAGACCTAATGTTTACATTGAACTTCTGGAAAAGTTTGCAACGGGTGATGGAAACTAATTTAAAGTTTAGTACAACATTTCATCCCCAAAAGGATGGACAATTGGAACAAACTATTCAAACTCTAGAAGACATGCTCCGAATGTGTGTCTTAGAATTTAGAGAGCATTGGGAAAACATCTACCATTAATAGAGTTCGCTTACATTAATAGCCTCCATACCTCTATCGGTATGACACCATATGAAGCCCTATATAGGAGAAAGTGCAGATCACCTGTTCATTGGGATGAAGTTGGTGAGTGTAAGTTATTAGGACCTGAAATTGTAGAACAAACGGTTCGGGCTATTGAAAAGATCCGAGCTAGTATCAAAATCGCCCAAGACAGATAGGAAGGCTATGCAGATAGAAAACAAAAAGATCTAGAATTTGCCGTTCGTGAACAGGTATTTTTGAAAGTCACCCCAATGAAAGGCATCCTGAATTTTGGTAAGAAACGGAAACTCTGACCGAGGTACATCGGACCCTTCGAGATATTCAAACGAGTTGGAAATGTAGCATATCAACTAGCTATTCCACCAAAACTTTCTGCTGTGCATGATGTCTTCCATGTATCTACACTCAAGAAATATGTCCCAGATCCGAGTCATGTAGTAAAGCATGAACCATTGAAGATCGAGAGAAATTTGTGCTACGACGAATTCCCACTTTACGTTATAGGACAGAAGTACAAAAGCTTCGCAGCAAAGAAATATCATTGGTCAAGGTATTATGGCAACATCATTCAATAGAGGAAGCAACTTGGGAATGCGAGGATGAAATGCGACCCAAATATCCCCAGCTATTTGACAAAGAGAACTAAGGTAATTTTCGAGGACGAAGATTTTTTTTAGAGGGGTAGATTACAATAACCTAAAATTCTCTACGTGTCATTAACCTAAGTATAAGGACCAAATTGTTCAATAACCATAGTTTAAGGACCAATTTATATAGAGACTAAGGTTCAGGGACAAATTACACATCAACTAGAATTTAGTGATCATATCGCATATCAGTAAACGTTTAGGGGCCAAGTTTTATACCCAGCCATAGTTAAGGGACTATAGCATATATATAGCATCTACATACATGGTAAGAAATAATTATTGGATGTTTTTATTATGGTAAGGAATAATTGAATGCAAATTTAGGTAATTACCATATATAATATGTACGTATATGTTAATTACCATAATTAAAAGAAATAATTAAGGAAACTTTCCTTTTTATTTAATTATACTAAAAACCGAAACGGTAATTACCATAAACATTATGTACATATATGTTAACTTCCATAAGTAAAGGATTCAATTAAGGAGCTTTCCTTTTCTTATTCAATCTTATCAAAAACAAAAAAGGTAATTAACATACATACACACACACACACACACACATATATATATATATAAGAAAAAGAAACACACAAACACACACGAATATTTTTCAAGAATTCTCCTATGTGCTAATAGGATCATCAGATTCGAGGTAAGTGAAATATATTTATTTCATCGTTTAAGATTACAAAAGTCGATATTATGATTATGTCATGAAATCATGGAGTTTAGTAGCACTACGCACGAAATTAGAACTACGAAGTTCGATTTTTTTATATTTTAATTTCGTGTCTCATTAAATATGTTCACGAATCTCTTGGACTTCTATTATTCATGCCATGTTATTTCACTTATTGAGTTTATCATCTCATATGAAACATGAATTTTTTTTTAGGTAATAATTAATCCTTGTTTTGAGATGGATGAAGATTGGGCGAGCACGCAATGGTGGATAATAAAACATTTAATAAAGTTATGTTAAGATTTATTTATGCTTTGATGATTAAATTATTTTGGTTGTGAAGATTTTAAGATTGAATATGTTGTTTCGAAATTTTCTTTTCCTTTAGAAAACTTTTATATATTATTAAAGTGATTGTTTAAGGATTTTATTCTTATGTTCAAGAATTTTTTTTTATTCTTTACATGTCAATCTTGACATGCAAATTTGCGAGAATACCAGTAGTAGCACTTAGATACTAAAATAAATCTAAAATTGATTAACAAAACAAAATAAAAATAAAATAAAACAATTAATACACGAA